TCAAGAACTGTAAACTATTGAAAGTCAGCAGAGTTCAACAATCACAAAACAGTCATTAAGGTGAAGGATATAAGAAGCTTTAATAAATTTTAGTTATTTTTTAAAATATTATTTTCCTTATGCTTTCAAAGCCTGCCATATTCTCTACTCAGGTTATCAAGCCTTTTTTTTTTCCTATGCTGCAACAAATATATTACCTTTAGTTTCAATGGAAGTTGAAATTTTACTGTACTGACATGACAAGATCTGTAATAGGTGGAGAACAACTCCCACAGACACATGTATCCAGTTAAACTGCAGATTAGCAACACACACTCTGTAAAATAAAAAGTGGTGATCCTGCATTCCTCACCCTTAAGATCAATTAACATCTCTGCAACCTGAACTAGAGATATTCAATGCCCTTGTCACCGCATTTCTCATAAAATCATTAACTCTTCTGCAACTCCAATCAAATCTATGAGACTGCTGCAAACAAGAACTATTTGTACCAATTTACAAAATGGAGAAAATCTTGACAAGAGTGATGTTGCTACTGACCACAGTGTTAAGAAACCACAGTCATATCACTTCCCTTGGTATTTTGTCTTATATATTTAATACAGCTTTAAAACCACCTAGGGTATGAAATGCAAAGGCATTTGTTACAAAGATTTTCGCAGCTGTGGGAGTTTCTGCACCATAACATCAAGTCGTGTTGGAGAATAATGCCCAAGTGAAGTTTCTCCTCTGACAGCATCCCAACCAGCGTATCATATATTCAATATTAATTTTAACTAATCATTCCCAGATGTCAGTCAACAAAAAGGACATTTGCAACTCTGAGTTATATAAAAAACTTCATTGTTTTCCTTTTTAACCTTCTTTGCTAGAGGCTAGGAGTCAAATACCTTAGCTTCACTTTCCAGGGAGGACACAAGGAGGGAGAAGGGACAATTAAAGGCAAGAAGGGAAAGATCATCACATTTAGAGGGCAAATTCAAAGACGTTGACTGTCCTAAAACTGAGGAACCATATGATTCCCACACAAGAACTGTGGAATAATTAATAAATAGCATCACAGAAGAAAACAATAAATGAATTCACTGCAGATGCACTATGGTAGACTACTTTGTCTAACATATCAATGCTCTTGTTAAACAATATATACCAGGCCTTGATAAAGGGTAGAAGAAAGTTATTTATGGGACTCTGAGTGACTAAATAGAACATTTTAAGGTCAAGGTTAAACTCATGGGACCTTTCAGGTTAGTGGATGTTTGCTAGCAGAATTCTTTAAACACTGCTTTTTGGGATCATTCTTTAATATTGTCATTGCATCAACACAGAAAATAAAATCTTTATGCCAACGAACTCTGCTGTGAATTATGTTGAGAGGAACAACAGAAGAAGAACCACCAGTGAAAACAGAGGATCTTTCAGCAGATGGATGACAGGCACAAGAAGTACCACAAATAAGACAAAATTTAACAAGAAACGTTCACAGCAATGCCCTCTAAACTTGCATGGGCAGATCGTGACAACCATGTTTCATGCAACCTGTGAGGTTCCAAAATCAGCTAGAAGAAACTCAAATCCTTCCAAGTGTTTTGCAAAATAAAGACTCACTGCTGAAACCATTTCAGTGTGTGGGAAGAAGTGTTTGTTTTGGTCAGAGGTGACCAAATCAGGCTGGGTCCCAAAACTACACTCCCGCTCAAGACTAGGTTGAAACTCAAAGGTCTTGGCACAACACCCTAACTTCAATAAAAGGACATATGTCATTTTTGGGAGCATTCCAGGAAACTCTGCTACACAGCATTTCTGATGGTTAGCAAACAGTCATTGTAATAATACAGCAAGGGCCTTTTTCATACAAAGCATCGTTATAAGGAACAGGTTGAATGGCAGTGCTGTAATGCTGCTCAAGTTAAATATGATGCTTTTTAAAGCGTTTTATGCAATAAGTACCAACTTGTCTGAGTGGGTTGGGTAGCAATTTCATCACCCATCATGTTCACACTGCAAAGTCTCACTGAAACGAGTACGATGCCTGGACTACTAATGTCAATATGTGCTTATGTACCAAAATTATTACTTTAGTTATTCTAGCATCATATAGCACAGACTCCTCAGAAAGATGCGCGAGCTGGCGTCACATGTCAAAACAAGGTTATGCATTTAACTGAACGCAAATGGATGAAACATCCAATAAAAAAATACATCTGATTTAAGAGCTGGGGTCTCTTTTTTTTACCCAGGGAGACTGAGACACAACTGCGCCTTCCCTTCATCCAGTTGTGTCCCAATATCACAGCTAATGCAGTCTTCTATGACAAAGCTTTAGAGGAATAAGGACAGTATACCTAACAGCAGGAGCTACAATATCCCAATATCCAGGCACAGCTGGGCTGAGGACAAACTGAAGTCACCTTTTTGCTGTGATTCCCAGAGGCCTATTTTGTTTTTAACTTTGTTTTCTTTCTGTTTGATCTTATGGTTATTCTAATGCAGTTTCTGCATTTTTCCATTAATTCTGCCTCTGTACAACGCTCTAAGCAATATTACGAATGGGGGAAGAGAAAAGAGTAACAAGCTCATAAAAGTGACTGTCTCAGACAATCTTCAAATGTACTGGTTAATTAGATATATATCTCATAAATGACGACAGAGGAGGGATGCCTAACAATCTAGAGAGGAAACTAAATCTAAAAAAGCTCCAACTCCGTTCAGCTGAATGAACAATAGGTCTTTGATTTCATTAGCTCTGATATTCTGAAAATCAAACCAATAAATGCAATCATTTTCTAAAGCACACATTCTTCTAAGTATACAACTGCAGAAGGAATGGCTATTAAAAGCTCTGCAATTACTCTAAATTTGCACTGTAAACAGTATAACACCAGACCATAATTAAATTAAATATGGACCATTTCATTGTCCCAATTACATGAAATTCAATTTGAAGACAGCATTTATAGTAGCACCAGCAGCATCTTTACAGATTTTGCACATTGCTTTAAGTAGCTACCACACCTATCCAACCAAAACACTGACACATAGAGCACATGGAAAGACCAGACAAAAGCACTTGAGGAACGACTGTGTTTGAGATGGCAACCCTATAAAGACTACGTGGCTCTAATCTCCTGGGACATGTTTGGTTTAAGTAACTGTGAGAAGTGGCGAACTTCTCGTGCATCCAACTCCATAGGACTGTGCACTATTTTGATCATTCAATCTGAGTACCTGAACACTGTTGTAAATACCACTTCAAAATCTGACACACATTTCATCCAGTCTGAAATACTTATGACCTCCACAGGCTGAAGTGTACGCTATCCTTTTATTTTCTAAGTAGAGTAAAAGGAAAAACCTATTAGATATTTGGTGCCTTACCTTAAGTTAAGAGTTAATAATTTATTAATCATCATTCAAGAAATCCTTATAACATTTGACAGTTTTTTGAGGGATTTTGCTTTCTTCTTTAAAAGACCTTCAAACAACAATCAGCTAGGGAAATATTTTGACATATGGGTTTGACGTGTACTTTTGATTTACATATTAAAGAAGACAAAGTTATGTGCTTTCACTAACGTATTTAATTTTCACATTTTTCAGTGCTAAACAAATTAAAATTCTTAGTTCTTTTACGGCATATTTTATGTCACTATGTTACCTTTCATGACTGCACTGCCCCCAAAAGAGGTCGTTTTCTTGCAAGAACTCCATCATAACAGCATAGATAATTTATATAATTTAAATACTATCAGCATGATAAATTTTCTTCAAAATGGAAAGAGAACAAAATTGTATTAAGGAGAAAACCAGTAAACAACCAAGCACCCTACATGAGTTCACTTTGGACATAAGCAAGCATGGTGCACTGAGAGAAAGCCAGTAAGAAAAACTCTTGCTTCCTAATTTTCCACAGGATAGCAGTTCTCTGGTGCTGTAAGGCACAATCACATCTATCACTTTATCTTAAAACAAATGTAAGGTTCTTATGATTTATTTCAGCAAGGGGGAAATGAAGCAAAAAGATACTGACAGTAACTCACATGCACAGAACAACAAAAAGAGTGCATCAAACTTTAGCATCTCAACAAGGCACAGCTTCACTGCAAAGGTCCCAAACCGGCAGCCAGAACAGCAGAAACCTTTTAAAAAGGCAATTTCTGTGCATGACTGGCTCTACTGCCACCACCTCGTCCTCACAGCACTGTACAAGACCCCAGGCAGGGGTTGAGCATGGCTTCCCTCCCTCCCACCTGTCCCTGTGGGTACCTCTGGGCACATCCCTTCTTCCAGAAAACCATGGCAGACCAGTAGCTCTGAAGCCTGAGAAGCACAGGGGACAAACACTAAGAAGCTGCAAGGTTCAGTGCACAGTTCGCAAATGGACTTCTGAGCAGGTGGTTTATTTTGGTTTTGGGTTGAGCTGCTGCTGCTGCCATCACGTGAGTGCCAGCAAACAAACCCTCCCCCGTAATTCTCCACGAGCAGTCCTGGACCTGGAGCGAGGAACCAGCCCACTTGAGTCACTCGCTACTGTAAAGACCAAGTCACAGCAGAGGCTCAGAAAACTGACTCTCCCTCAATACCAAACATTAATCATCAACTCCAACTTACAAATGAGTGCTTGCTGCCTCTGTAATGCTTTAAAAATATCCATGCAGTTTTCCAAAGGCACTCTACAAAGGCTACCACCACCCTACCCACTTCTCAACACACAGTGTTTTAACAAAAGGTTTCCAGCAGTCAGACTGCACCTGAAACCTCACCAGAGTCTGCAGACAGACCCCGTTCACTTTGAGAGCTTCTGTGCCACTTTAGCTGCTTTGTATTGTTCAGCAGCAGCACAGCCAGATAAAGCCCTCATGGGAACTGACTTCTAATACATACATGGGGCTCAGGTTCTAGCAAGGGAGGGATATTGTTTGCATTTTTGGAGTTTAAACATCTTAAAAGCATAACATTTATCACAGCCAAAAGAAAATGAGGCTATGTGAAATACTTACTTCGAAAATGTTCTGAGGCATAATAGTAGACATCCTCATAGCCCTCATGGTAATCCTCCTCTGGCCGGTACTTTTTGCCTTTTCTTCTTCTCGATCTTCTTATCTGCTTGACAAAGCCCAAGAAGCGCTCCATCTCCTTCCTCAGCAGCCCCAGCCAGCAGCCCCCTTTGCCCTCTGTTTCACAAAGAGCTGTCCAGCATGAATTAACCACAAGCACCAAAGCAAAGCTGCAGCCTCCCACTAGCCGCTCCAGTACCATTAAACAACCCCTCCCTTATCTCAGCTCCGACTAGGAAGCATATTGTTTTCCCTTTACAAGAGAAAGGGACAAACAGAGACACACTTTATCAAATCGACTGACTAGAATATTTCAACATGAAAATAAATAAAGGAGGAAAACATTGAAGAAAAAGGAGAATTTCAGGATTTCAAGACGTTATTAAACAGCAGAGGACAAAGTTGAAGAGACCTGCCTGCCAGCAAGGGGAAATCCAGCACTGAGAGCTCCCTATCCTGTGTCTCCATCATTTGAAGAGGGGCCGGGAGGCGGAGATAGATGTTAGTCAATGGACTGAACCATATCTCAAAGTAAAATAGATTTCTACTTGCCAGTTAAATACTGCCCTCATATTTACCCGGGCACAGGCTCAGCAGCCCATTTGATTTCATTTGTCTTAAGAAGAGAAAACATGCCAATTCATTTCTGGCATCACATACGCTGAATGAATAAATAGCAAAGTGGTTTAATCCGCACACACAGCCCACTCACCGGCAAGTGTGTACTGAATGTGTTAATTGGAGCAGCAGGGAGAAAGCTCGGCAGCTGTTAAAAAATGACACATATACCCACTGGGCATTAGTGTATTCTAATCACTGCTGGATCTAAACATTAAAAAGCACTCCACAGACAGGTCTCCTATAGAGCTGGCCAGCTATATGGCAATAGGCAAACAAAGGAAGCAACATCACAAGCACACCACAACAATACTCGTTTAAAATCCCAGCAGAGTTCTAAACAACTTTAAAATTAACATACAGCAGACTATCCTTTGCACAGGATGAGACAAGCAAAAAATCTGAAAAGGTGCTGGCTCTCTTCTCTTGTTGCATGTCTGAATCCCACATGCATTCCCTAAGATAAGGCTGGATTTTAGTTCAAGTTGAAGTTTCCCTGTGCTTCTGATAAAGATTCCCTGCTGCACAAAAACAGTGCCTGCTCAAATCCTATCACGTTGACATCTGCCACGGGGATTTTACTGTACTCATGCTCCTACAAGCTAAGTGAGGTCTCTAGTCCAACAGGACCTCTCTTGTCTGCTGGCACAAGTCAGGAATCAATCAGTCACCTCAGTCAAACCACATGCTGAACATGGTCACCTGCACCCATGCTCCCAAGAGAAACCATTTTGCACCTATGGGCATGAGGAAGTAAGAAAGTCTTCCTGTAAAATGGATGTTACAGGTTCATCATCTGGAAAACGAAAAGCACGCAGAGGTGGGATTAGTTTCTGGTGATGCAGACATTTCAGTGAGTCATTATTTTGTAAAGAGTAAACTAGGTCAGTGTTTTTAAAAGCTGAAGAAGTAAAGAAGAAGTAAAGCAAAAGCCAGGATTGTAACTTACCAATTCTGTTCCAAAAGAAGCATGCAGGGATTCATGAGTATTTAGCTGCAATTTTCTAGTTTTGAAATGTGAAAGTTATTAGTAGAGGTCAGCTAGACCTGCTATCTGAGGGTCCTAAAACAAGTGCACACTGAAAGCTAGCACTGGAACTCTTCTGGGCTTGTTCCAGCTTTCCAGGTATTTTAAACAATATTGTCACAAACCCACACCCATTTTATCCATAAAAGCTCAAAAAACCCTTAATGCTCCTACCAAACTCCCCACAGGAATACAGACTCATCCTCCTTGACCTCACCAGCCCTGCTTTCCCGCTGTGAAAACGCAGCCACTGTCGCTAGCTGATGAACACCCCCAGGGCACCACCAGAACTATTTTTAGTGCAACTTCTATAAGGAGGTTGTGTTTTATTACAAATCTGTTTTTATCACACAGTTTTCAACTTTCAAATGGTAAAGACCTTAGAGGAATATTACAGGCATATTACCAAAAATAAAAAAGGCAATAAAACCTCATCTATGGGCTTTAAGAAGGGATCACTGTATTTTCTGAAAGTTTCAATTTGAGTGTCCTTCTGTGCTCTGCCACCAAGCAGCAAAAACATTAGTGTCATGGAACATGAAAACCAGTTAGCCTACAGCAGAGGCAGCACTCTCTCTTTTCAAAGAGGGAAATGTTGTTTTGATGCTGTATTTGCCCCTGTTGAGGACCCTCCCTGACAGATGCAAAAAGGTATTTATGTAGGTGTCAGAAATATTAAAGACGGAAGTCTCGCAGCCATCACTGATCCCTGAAGTTAATTCAAAATGACAAAACTACTTTTTAAAAAGGAGAAAACGTAAACTTTCTTGCTTTTAAAATGTCCTCTAAATGAGAGCTGAAAACTAGAATCAAGCAGACACACTTGGCTTTTATCAAGTAAATACGACCTTTTCCAGTGTCTCTATTGCTCAACATGCTGCTGTAGCAGAAGCTTCTGTGGGAGAGGTGGCTTCCGCAGTCCTCAGCATGCCCCAGGGAGACTTCGGTCCTTTTCATAACATGACAAATACAGCAAATAAGCAGATTAGGGAGCAGCCAAATGATCTCAGTGAGCACGTTAGCAGCAGATGCAGCACACTGACTGCCTGACCACTTTCCGGAGAGAATCGATCTAAATTTGGGCAAATTTTGAGCTTTGGAAAGCATGGCATTACCTTGTGCAATGGACTTCCCCTTCTCTCTTGTGCTCATGAGATGCATCACACAGATATATGGCTGATGTAGTAAAGTAGAAAAAAAATGCACTAAATGGTATTATTGGCCAGTGCTCATGGTAATAGCTCCCACCTATCCTGTGTGTAAAGTATGAAGGGGTTGAGGTGGAGCACCAGCTCTCCTTGGATAAGCAGAGGGGGTTTAAGCTCTGCTGCACTTCACTGTATCACACCAACTACTACTCTCTGCAAAGGCCCGGCTCTGTCTTCTACAGTGAAGATGCAGAAGCAGGCCTCCAGCTTCTAACACACAAACTGACAGTCTTGCCACCATGTAAATCACATACCCATTTCCTTTGCCATGAATGCAAACAGCAGAGACAAATAATTTCAAAATTTTTACTTTTTTTTTTAAACATAGAACAAGTTGAGCTTTTGATAGGATTTTCTCTGCCCTAAAATATTCTCATATTCAGGACAATTTAAAGAGAAGGAAACACCTTAATTGAGGACATTGTTGTTATACATTATATGAGTCAGACTATTAAGTGTTTCACTATACTAGAAAGATTTCTGAACAAAAGTTGTTTCATATGCATTACACACTACCTCTACAGCTTTGCTGAAAGTACTGGAGACATTCATTAGCTACTCCTCATGCCATACCTGTAAATATTTTATCACAGTCCTACTTTCAAAGGCATACACAGAGAACTCAGTTTCATAAACACAGTTTACTGTAGTTAGAAAAAAAGAAAAAAACACAGCTAAACTACTGATTTCCCCATTGCTCATTGATTCACCCTTCTGCAGTTTCTTGTGACGAACAACTCATTCCTTCATGGAAATGAATATAGTTCTTGCTTGAAAAGGAATAAAAAAAAGCAGACACATATGGCAATTTCAGAAAGGTATATTGATTTCACAGGAGGAGCAGAGAAAGAAACAAACACTGGCTTTCAAATTTTTAAAATGCAAAACATCAGAGATGACAATGAGTTTCATCCCTAATGACAAACAGAATAAGATAATTATGCCCAGAAGGCAAAAAATTAGGGTTATATCAACTGTCGGTTGATATTCTGAAACTCTCTCCAAACTAAAATTTGGAGAATCAATTTTCTGGTGTTATAATGCCACAACAGAAAGTTGCAGTTAAATATGTCTCAAGCTCTTCGACTTGTCCTTTCTCCCCAGTCCAATCAAAGCAAGCGTTCTATTGCCATTTTCAAGGAGACTCCTTAGAAGATGTAAGGATTGTCATGCTGTCTCCAGCATGACTTGCATCACAAAAATTTTGCCAAATGACACCAATTAGATAATACTTACATTCTCCATTTTGATAACTAATTCGTTTAAGTTAAGGAGAAGCTACATCAAACTCGATCTGTCTCAGGACAGTGACTTACTGGAAAAGATTTCATAGCAGTAATAAAACACAAATAATTAAAGACACTGTCTTTTTCAAAAAGTTGAGCTGAAGCATAAATGCTTTTGCAGCCATGGATAATTTTCTAGAAGAGAGACGTCAGCATTTAAGTTTTAACTTGTCTTTATACCCATAGCAAAGATTAGGTCTCTCACCATGCAAAATATCTGCATTTAACATTTTATTTGCACAAAATTAGCTATGCAGTTATCAAGGTAAACTTTCACAAGCGACATACTTATTTTCTACAGCACTTTATCCAGTATTTGGGGAAAGCAGTAGGAAAATGATTTGGTATCCAAGGATAAGCCACTAAGGTAGTAAATATTTAAGATGTATTTCCATTTGAGTGGGCTTGCAAAAATGATGCTTTGAAACTAAAGCCTGTGTCTGAAGCAAGCCTCCCTAATGTTTTGTATCATAAATACAGAATGGAACCTGCACCAAATATTAACAGTTCTGAGCAGGTATTCTGCATCCTGTTCATCAGCATGTTTCAGCATTTAAAAGAAAAACATTTTAGACAGACAAACCCTCCTATATCTGCCTCTGCTTTTCTGGGCAGCCCCTAAAAGTCTTCTTCCGGGGGAAGGAACACCCCTCACTGGGAGGCAACCATATACGAGAGAACACAATGGCAGCCACAGAGATCTACCTGCACCACGTTACTCGCATGGGAAAAAAACCCACAAAACTATACATGCACAATACAAAAATTAAGATTAATATGAACAGTTCTTGAAGGTTGGCCTAATAAAGGAAACAGTTCTTTTCCCACCTTCCTCAGCCCCTAAGCATAAAGGTACAGCAAACCTCAAAAGGGAAGAACAGATGGTTTCTTCTCTGGTTCTCTTTCAACTAAGGGATGTCTTTGATAATCCACCGTCATTGTTTTTGTAAACCAGCAATAATTAACAAAGGAGCCGTTCCCCTTATTTGTCTTACAGTATCATCTTGCCTGACCTTCTAGTTTTTCAAGAGATGTTTGTTCACATGCCATAATTGCTCCTGTTAAGGCTGCAATTTTCCATTCAAAATTTGCCCTAAATATCTTGGTGTAAAATGTGAGCCTATCGATTTGAAAATTATCAAATGCCTGTAATTTACAATCTATTAAGCACTATAAGAACTTATGTTCTATACATGAAGAAGCAGTTCTGTGTATATAGTCAATATTGTGTGTGAGGTGTAACTAGCAGCAGTCTACCATCCCCCAGAGGTGCCCCACCCGAAACCCCTCTGTCAGGCCCCCTTCTGAACACGTTCTG